TCGCATAATAATAAATAATAAATGGGTAATAGAACACATGAATGTCCTAACAACGTATTAGAAATTATGTTTATTTTTAATAAAAACTAAGATTTTTGATAAATAACATTTTTAACCAACGATTGATCGTCCAAATTGACAGATTACTTAATTAAACTTTTGACAGCTCGTTGACCACCGAAAATGCTTTCAGAAACTCGATTTTATGTTGATTGTCCGTTAATCAGTGACTAATTGCGAATCAAAATCAATGTTGTTTAAGACGTTCTAGCAACTCAGATCATGTTAAACAACGATTGACAAGAAATTTATCGTAAATTAAAATTGATTGCGCTTTCGGAAACTGGGTGTAAATTTGGTAAGTGACATAACTTGGTCAGGACGTATGTCCGTCCGCCACTGGATTGGTCCAAGGAGTTAGCAGCAAAATATAAACATGATTTACTTATTTATTTTATAATCGATACTCGGTGACGCAGTTGCCAAGCTTCGATACCGCGGGTCGTGGGTTCGATTCTCACCTGGGACAAGCATTTGGCCTACTTAGCCTGACCTTCGGATAACTGTTCCGGATCAGGGTGTTTGCCCAAGTAGAGTTGGCAGACTGGCGGAATGTCGTAAAAAGAAAATACCATTAACACGCTTCACATTTTGTGCTGACCCTACTTAAGTAGTGTAAGGGCGGCAGAAATCAAAAGAAATCAAAAGAATCTATAGAAGATAACTCGGTTGGTTCAGTTGCAAAGTGATATACTCCTTTCCTGTTGTTTCTCACTGTTCAATTCGTTTTAGTAAAACGCCTCAACCAAGCAAGATTATCTAAAAATAGGTGTAGCTGGTTTTTAAAAGTTATAAAAAACGAAAAGGAAAAACTCCTGTTAAGCAGAGTCTTTGAGTTAGTCTTATGATTGGAAGTGCACAATTAGCCGGCCGCCTATCTCGTACATAAAAACAATGGCACGTGATGCAAGATCGGTTTTTACCCGTGCCTGGCACTGCCATCTTGTAATGACGCGACGTAAGTAAATAATGGAATCTTTTACTTTAAAACTACTGTGAGCGCAAGAAATTGCATTTATGATTGTTTCAAAAGACTTCTTGTTCTGTTTTTCTATAAGATTTCTACAAAATTAGACCTGTAGCTATTGGTGAAAAGTTAAGTTATAGGACAGTCAATTGGTGTGCAAATATAATATAAAAAATATAAATAAATCACAATGTTGTCAACGCATCTGTAACCCTCGGGTGTAGCAGATACATGTTCATCACACAATATTGGGATAGAATTGGGGATAGAACCCACACCTGGCGCATGATGCAGGTACTCTACCCACTAAGCCATGCGGGTCGTCGGGTGGCTTTGATTGTATTCCTTTGTGAGAGTTTGTACGCCAAGGGGTCAGGGGCGCAGAGTGAGTAAGCCGCGTATGCACTTTAAACTTTGAGAACGCGAACGCATAAGGTTAAGGTCGTTGTGTACGCGACTCTAATCTTAGCAGCGTCGTTTCAAATCGCTATCTGTATTAAATAGATTTTTCTCTCGGCCCTCGATAGGTTAACGATGAACTGTTTCCCTTTCTTAATTTCTTGAATAGGGATACACGTCTCCGTAACGTTCCGTAATTAAAACCTAGAAAAGCGTCCTTACAACACAGAATAATGTTTTCCTACGGCAAGTGGCTATGTTTTCGAAGGGTAGACTAAAATAGATCTTTTAAGGTCCCTGAGGTCGTTTGGACTTCCTACCCAACCGCTTCCATGCAAAGATAATGCTATGCTACAGTAAGAATAATGTTTTTTTTTTAAATAAAGAACAACTGTCTCTCCACTCATCATAATGTACAAAATTTTAAGGTATTTTGTCCTTGCTCTAAAAATATCCTTTAATCTCTGAATTCAGACATTTCAGCTGCATCAGCTACCATTTGAATTCAGTATAGTAGAATAGTAGGATTCTTTCGTTAAAGTCTTTTTTAATTTTAAAGGTGGCAAGTAAGCATAGATATTGCACAGAAGCCACTTTGCTAATATTAAAAGAATGGGTATCGGTTACCTCACTTAACAGTTAAACACGAGGGTCATAAATTATGTTGTCGCAAAGTTCATTGGGAAAACATAATCTCCTTTTCTTCTAACCTGATCTCTCTTTTGTGTAGAAACCAATAAGTGTTTAAACAACCTAAATATGGAATTAAGCATCTTTTAGTTTGGCATTGGTTATCTGTAACACAAGATTAATTTATATATCCATTAATCGCCAAATACGAATGCTCTCTGCATTATTAGCGAATAAATTAAAATAAATGAAACTTTCAACTATATTCAACTGTAGTCTGCCTAGCTTTAAATCATCTCTCCGACGTCATATTGCATCATGCCATGTACAGGCACATCAGTTGGGTATGTAGCTGCTACTCACGCTCATATTGTATCCCTTTAACTTTTATTTTAACTTGATAAGTTACATTTTACTTTAATTAAATTTTAATTCTTTAGACGATAATAATATTAGTAATTTTATCTCTACGATTAGTGAATGTTGTGTTTAGTTATAAGTGGGTTAATGATTTGTGTATTATGTGTTCTCTAAATTACTTCTCTGTGTATTTAACGCAGAGCCAAGCAGCAGCCTCGCTGCTGCACGAATGAGCAGGCTCGTCCGGGTAAGTACCACGACCTCTCAGAAGACCGGCGTAAAGTGGAAGTATGACAAATACTTTCGCGTTTCGTCTGGTGAGTGAGGTAGCCGGAGCCCAATTTCCAAAAAGGTTGTCAACGCATCTGCAAACCCTAGGGTGTAGCAGATGTTCATGGGCGGCGGTATTCACTTAACATCAGGTGATCCGTCTGCTCGTTTGGCAACTTTTCACATAAAAAAATAAAAAAAATGTTTTAGTTTGAGACCTGTTACTAAACCTTTCAAAGATAAAATAAAATATTGCACGAAAAAATCAATTTCGCACGAGTTTATACTAAGTGTTTATTTTGCCTGTTAGTGCTCCCGTCGAATCATATATGCCCATGGTCACGAGTAGAGCGAGGCGCTCTTGCAATTTAACTGAGGTTTTATGATAACGACGCAACCATTTAACGAACTGTTTATCGTTTTTATTACGTAACAATGTCGTTAACGTCGTCACGTTATACAGCGTGTTCATATTATATAATGTCGTCCATATCAAATTTCAAATGTAATTGTGTTTCAATTGTATAGTTTTAATTTCGACTTAAATAAAGTTATTGTTATTATCAAAAGTTATTTTGCTCTAGATGGCATTAAAATTAACAGTAGCTTAATGCCAACCCGGGTTAATATGACTGATATCAGAACTTCAAACACGTCAGAACCACTCGGTGACATGGATGCTGCAAACCGTTTGAAGGGTCTGGAGTTGAAAACAAATAATAAAATTGATTTACGATAAAAATACAAGTGATTCTCGAGGCCAGAGCTACCTCAGAACATTAAAATTGGTATTAACACTTGCTAAAATATTTTTTTTTAATTACCATTAATTAAAATTAAGCATATCATCTTCCACGTTACCACTAATTGTCAATGGATTGGTAGTAAAGTGCTCCCAATAGTTCTTAATAAAAATAACAAAGCAACGATCCAAAGACCATTAACACTAAACGGAAGCGTTGCCCAAGACCCCGCCAGTACAATACGACCTCTACGGATATCGTGTGATGAGTGAGTTTACCGGTTTTCGTTTGCGTATTATTATGAATTGCACTCGAGGCCGTGGCTTAACTGAATACTCGCTAACCAGATAGAAGGGTATGCATATCTCTTGTTACACAAAACACCCGAACCTACTATATTTATATAGCAAAACAACGCTCGATATCGAGTTTTCTTTTTTCATAAAAACATAAAATTATATAGTAAACGCATTGATATATTTACAAACATATGTAGATAATGTCTTTCAATATGTACATACATCGACGAACGTTTCAATGCGCCTGTTTGTTTGTAAATTTAACATGGCTTGCTAGGATGCCGACAGCACTGTAATATAATAAATTATAGCACACTAGCTGCTGCCCGCGACTATGTCTGCGTAGAATAGACTAAAGGCGTAACATTCAGAAAGAAAGGCAGATGTACATAAAAATGTATATAAATTATAGCCTATGTCTTATTCTGATGTATAAGCTATATTATTGTAAAGTTTCATTAAAATCCATTCAGTAGTATTTGCGTGAAAGAGTAACAAACATCTATCCATGCATACAAACTTTCGCCTTTATAATATTAGTAAGGATATATATGACTTTATAATAAACAATAACAGTGACCACCTCTACCTTTTCCGAATGAATTAAGATTGGTTTTTCAGACTTAGATGTGAGAGGGTTCGTTTCGGAGCTCACGTTTGTGCCAAAGCTGTCGTTTAATCTAGTGATTGTGCACAAAGTACGCTCTTGTCCACGCGCTTTTTCTAAGTCAACTCGAAGTTGTGTTTAGGTGCGTCGACCTTTCATAAAGGCAAAGACTGACCCTCGGCGGTTGCTATAGCAATTAGATTTACCCGTGTACCAGAACTTCGTCGAATCGAACATCGTTGACTCGGAGCATGTGGACCCAAAAAACTGGGCGGCCTCGGTTTTTATCACTTTCGGCTTTGATTTTTTCCCATTGAAATCGATGTAAAATCGAGAAGTTAAGCGATTATCGTCTTTGTCTAGTTAGAATAACGCCTGAAATCTTTATTGCTCCGGTTGAGTGATGTAAGCATAACGCAAAATTAACGTTGCTGCCCGCCGAGAAGAATCCGAATCTCCGTAGGTCCAGTCATAAAAAGTGAGGTAATAGACAAACAAATACTAGACCTCATTATAGGGTACTCGTAGAGTAGGTACCTCTGTGCCTATACGTCTGTTACACAATTCCATGCGATCTTATGAACAACAGTTGTCTAAACATTAAATTGATGTGAGAAAAAATCAAGCGCAAAACTAATTCAATTCAATCTTGATCATATAAAAGAATGAAAAAGAAAGAATGGTGGGGATTCTCAGACGGTTCCAGCTTGGAGTGCAAATGTGGTGCTGTTCCCCAAACCATGGAACATTTGACGTCGTGCCCTGCGTGCCCAACCAACTGCACGCAGGAGGACCTGATGAATGCTGCTGACAGTGCAATTCATGTGGCTGAATTTTGGGCCGATACTATGTAAATAGGTATTGCCATAGGCACGAAAGGAAGAAGATATAAAAGAATACAAAAGACAAAACAAAAATTAGTTATCACAAAGCATAACACAATATGGTTTCTTCTGACTAGAATTAGATATATTATATATTGTAGATACGCTATATTTAGATACATTGTGTTATAAATTTTTCCTTTATAATTTCTCGTTCAGATTTATTGTAAGTTGTACATGGATATATATAAAAAAACTTATAAAACAGTACCAACTGCTACTAATACAGGTTATGGTAACATATTTTTTAAATTGACCATTTAAATAAATATAATTTGATTAACATTAGTTTCAATACTTTATTCTAACTTCAACTACGGGTATAATAATACAGTCATTAATGGAAAAATAAGATGTTTTTTGTAGTGAAGATAAATTGTAGACAAAAAAACTTAACGTCTTACGGATAGCGCGCCAACGCGCTCAGAGCATTAAAATTGTAATTTGAAGAACTTAACCGGTATTAATAAAATTATTCAGATAATATTATTTACACAGCGTTTAAATCTGCATTAGTACTTCCGTATTTGTTATTGTAGTCGTGGTTTAATATTCATAACATCGCATATAACGCAATGATGTTTTAATGAAGATGACGCATGTCCATACTGCACGACGTTCAAAAATTGTTCCGCTTGACATTATAATAATTATTACACATACAGCGTGTCGTTACAACCGCGACAATAAATGAACACACATATAAAGGATAACTTTTTAAAATTGTATTAAGCATTTACATTCTCTAAACATCAATATTTACCGAGTTATTAAATTTTACGAAACAAACATTTTTAGAACAGGAATAAAATTAGGAATAAAACTGTAACTAAAAGTTTATTCGTAAAGCTCACAAGGCATATGAATGGATTGAATGAATTGAAAAGAGATTAAAACATACTGTTAGAAGAAAAGACTTGTAATGCGACGTTGTGGCAACGAATGAAAAAGTCTCTGAATGTATGGATCAGTCAGTTGTAGTTGTATAGGGTGTTATAAATTTTGTTCCTTTTTTATTTAATTAATTTGTTTCAAAAATATATTTTTTAATTATGGATTTTTTAACGTTTTATATTTTTTTATGATTATTGGTAAGTAGCGTTAGACGTGTGTTCATTTATTGTCACGGTTGTAACCACATGCTGTATAAGTGTGCATGTACGTATGATACGAAAAGAGATAGCAGTCTATAGTCTATAGAATTGTAATCTAATTACACCAATTGTTGTAATTTGAATGCCTCAGTATCGGCGCGTTAGTGCCATTTTTACCTCGTATTCGTATATAATATTTGAATCGTTGATATTATGTGTTAAAATTATTTTCCCGTGACATCTAAATTTTTTTTAAGGTTATCGTTTCATACGTTCATTAGTTCTTTATTAGTTCTTTATTTTTGCTAAAATATACGTTTTAATTACATAAATATATTATGTATGTAATAGTATGGTACTTTAAGGAATAAAAATTCCAAATGTAAAAAATACTCGTAGTTTATTATTTCTCCATTATTAACATTAATATCGAAGACAAACAAGGTAAGTATATAAGACGTCGAGATTTTTGCTATCTATACGTTTTAAGTTCCATCTTAATTGAACAGACTAACGCTCAAAATGAAAGTTAAATTTAAATAGCAAAAGATTCTCTCTAGTTTTCAAATGTTCATTATAAAAAAATATCTTTGCTGTTGGCGGCATTTAATGTGCTTCACATTAAATGCCGCCAAGCAATACTAAAAATGCAAAAAAAGCAAAATAAGATAAGTTGTACATGTCTACGACTTATCTTACTTTTTATTAATATCGTAAATGTTTTCGCGCGGTGAAGATATCGACTGCTTTGATTAGTGGTTAAAGCATCTGGGTGTGTTACCCAGAAGGTTCTGGTTCGAATTCTGGAAGTGGCGAAAAAGTTTTCGACGATTTATCTACACATCTTAAAATGTTTAATGACATGCAACGTATTTTACTATCACTATATTACTACGTAACCATGTAACAACCTGATCTCCTAATATCTTTTCAGAATTCTATTTGTAAAGAAATAAAATTTCTAACCTTAAAAGTTACTTTCATTGAATAAAATGCATGTATGTTACTCAAGGTACAACAAGTATATTTTTTTCAAGTTTTCAAATAAAAGTATATATGTATAGCGTAGCATCTTATTAGCAAAAAAAAAATAAAATTGATTAAATTAAACAGTTTCAAAGGTTACCCAAACGTCCAACCAGCAACAACGTCTTCATAATATAAACAGAGAGGATCGCCGATAGAATAATATGTAAATTGAACAAAGTTTTTATGAAGGCGACTGTACTCGATGGCGACGATGTTACAAAATCTGCTTCCTGGTATGCGGCACACACTATGATAGGAAGATGGGTGTTGGGAAATCTTTAACTCGATCGAGTGTACTGGGTCTTGGCCTGCGTTTATTGTGCTTCGGTCAAAGACACGCTGACCGTTCTATTTGCTCAGTTGGACCTTTTGTTTGAAGAAGTTTTGTTTAATTTATTTATTTAAACTTTATTATGGCAACCATATGGTGGTGTAGAGAAAGTGAGGTAGTACATGAGTAATGTGTATAACGATAAAAGGTTTTTCGTGAAATAAATATAAATATTAATTAAAATTTATAAAAATAATACGTTAAAGTTATACTAAACAATACTCTCTGTACAGAGGACGCCTTTACCCAGCAGTGGGACATGTATAGGCTGTTATTTTAATTTACTATTTCCTTAACATAATACTTACACTTAAAACATAATACTTACTTAATACTTAACATTACATTACAAAGTACATATAATAGTATCACCTCAGAGTTGCTTGCCGACTCTTATTTACTGCGTCAAAGGAGCTTTAGTTACATTATACAAATTGTTAAAAACAAATCTTTAATTTAGGTTTCGAATTCTGTACAGCTTTCTTATTCACCGAACTGAGATGTTTGAAGTCCTGATATTATTACTTAACATGTACTACCATTAGTTGGGTTTTTCTTGGTTTATTAATCTACCAGAGCGCCTTCCTAGTTCAGTTTATTTAAATGAATTAACAAATATTTTGTAAACATTTCCACACAATTTTCTCTTGCCCCAAACTAAGCAATGCTACATAAGTAACTGATAAACATACATTTCTTTTGTAAATAAATACATATTGTAGTAATATAAACACCCGGACACTGGAAAAACACCATGCTCATCTCACAATATTTTTCCAGTAGTGGGGCTCGAACCCACAACCTCTGGCGCAAGAGGCAGGTGCACCACCCACTACGCCTTTGAACACTCTACACATTTAAATTATTTGATATAAATGATTGATAACGTTGCCAACTCGAGAGTTTCTAGTCGTAACTGTCTCTTATCGCCGACATGGGTGCGCTTGCTCAGCCCCGCGCTCAATCCGCGATCTTGTATCTTGTATTAACCGATGTCAACGCTGTCAGTCCCGAGGCCATTAAAGCTTCATCGAACTTGGAACCGGCGGGCTAGCCAGAACCCGCGGGTTTGAGGCCCTCCACAGTGGGCTGGGCCGCGTATGTGCTCACGCGTGCGTTAGCCAAGCAATCCGACAGCGTCTCGGAACGCGCGTAGAATACCATTTGTCCCCTTGTTAAGCACTATGACAATCGAAAGTATATTGACGTGCGTAACACATGTCGGCGAATTCGTTCGCGACTCACTTCGGCAATCATATTCGCCGCAGTGTTGCGTCACGGCGAAATTCGTGGTTACGCGATAAGCCAATAAACCTAAAACCGAGTTGCACGTACCGGCGTGGGTTACAACGCTAAAGTGTTGCGTGGCAGACTAAAAACTGACTTGGACGTGCTAAGCCTATTTGCCAAATCGTGAAATTGTAATACAGATTTGGATAGCCCCTTTAAATTAGTAGTTTAATCATAGACTAAGGGACCGCTCCGTTTTTGGCGGGCGAAATTCATTCTTATCAATAATATCCTCAAGTAGATGTAGAGACAAATAACTTTTGATAATTTTTAATGATAACAAAACAAATTAAAAATTTTATTTCAAGAATTGTTTGATAATAAATTCTGTCCCCATGGGTGTTTAAAAATTATGAGAAAAAATAACGAGGCTCGGCTTTTTCTAAGTAAAACCACTACGATTTAAATATATATACATAATACAAGTACAATTTTTATAAATTACAATTTAAAAAAAAAGAATATACCAACAAAAATGGTGAAAGGTGCCGGCGATCTTCATTAAAGTACTCTAGATTTGGAGGTTTTTTTTTGTTTTTTATTAACACTCTTTCTTTATAATATTGAATCAATTTAAAAATTTATAAAAAAATATAATATAAAGATAAGTCATCTAAAATAATCATTTTAGACAATGGTAAACAATTCGTTAGTGCTACTCTAAAAAACACACTATCTAATTACAAAGTACCTAACCTACATTATACGCCTAAATACTCACCACACGTAAATACTGTTGAACGGTATTACAAAACCATAATTACTGCTGTATCAACATTTATTGAAAATGATCACCGAATGTGGGACAAACTAATTCCCCAAATTCAATTCGCGATAAATAGTGCGGTTAATGAAGTAACAGGCTACACGCCTTCCTTTCTAGTGTATGGGCGCGAATTGGTCTCGTGTGGGTCGCATTACGTTGACGCGGAGTCCGAGGACGTTATCTATCAGCCACGCGACTCTTACGCCGAAAATTTAGGTTGCCTTTCTTCTATTTTAACAAAGTGCAAGCTCTTTTATTGCAAGCACACTCTAGAAATTGTCAAACTTACAATTTACGTCGTCGTCCTGCGGAATATAATGTAGGTGATATAGTTTGGAAAAGAACATTCTATCAGAGTGACAAAGATAAATATTTTAGCACGAAATTAGCACCCAAGTTCACAAAATGTAAAATTATCACTAAAAAATCACCTCTCGTATATGAATTGTCGGATATGACCGGTAATTCCTTGGGATATTGGCACATTAAAGATTTGAAACTTATTAAATATACGGAATAAGAAAATATTTTGTCGGTAGTAAGTTGTGAGTATAGACGGATTTTTCTTATGAGAACTTAGATACGCAAAATCCTTCTTCTTGTGGCGGGGTACTGTAACGTTGCATCTAAATGCACCCTTCCATTTTTTAATAATATTTGTAAACAAACAAATTATATCCGTTCGCGTAGCCTGCACGCCATACCGACGGATCCCTAAATTCGGAAGCGTTCGGCGAAATTCGGTGACGCGAACGGTTCCCCGTTTGGGCCAATCGTACGAGACTACGTTTCGCACGTCAGACAGAGCGGTCACTGTGCTGTGTGCTACTGATAAGTAACGACCGACTATTTTTTAAAAAACTCAGAACGGTTAAATCCAATTTGATCCCGCTGGGGTGAGTTGTCATTACTATATTGTAACTGTGTGTTACTATATTGTAACTGTGTATTACTATATTGTAACTGTGTATTACTATATTGTAACTGTTCTGCTTTTTATTTTTTTTCTTGCTGGTGCTGCTTAGCGTAAGAGTGTAGCTTTCATAAAAGGGGACACTGAGCTCGAGTAGGGTTTGTCCAGCGCCGTTTTAAGCCGCCCTAATGCTTGCCTTCGTCTGGCTTCCAGGATCTCCCTACCCTAATTATTAGCCGAGCGCTGCCGCCCGGATTAATACGGCCGAGCTACCCGATCTACAGAGCCCGAGACCCCAGATACCGACGGCTTCGAAAAATCGGCGTAGAACAATTCCTGGACGTCTCACCGTACGTCAGGCCAGTGAACCACCACCACACTTAGCTGTTGTGTGCGGAAGTATGACAAATAAAGCTATAAAAGAAATAACACTGAATCCTTGAACCCACCTACCCTACCTTAGAATTTAGCCGATAGGCTACAAAGTATTAAAAACCATCTCAGACAGGGGATCATAAAGGTACCCACAATATATCTTTGTTAAATAAATTAACTTTCTAATAATTATGTATTCACGGTGAGTTTGCGATGTATTTGTGTCATAAAATGGTTGTTTTAAACATACCTTTTTATTTTCTAAACCAATGAAGTTAATAAAAACCAGTCAAGTGCTAGTCGGACTCGCGCACGAGGAGTTCAGAACCACTATCTATAAAAACCGATATCTATAAAAAAATCATGTTTGTCATATGGGAGCTCCACTTAAATGTTTCTTTAGTATTTGTTGTTATAGCGGCAACAGAAATACATCATCTGTGATAATTTCAACTGTCTGACCATCACGGATGAGATACAGCCTGGTGACAGACAGAGAGACAGGCAAATAGACAGACAGTGGAGTCTTAGTAATAGGGTCCCGTTTTACCCTTTTAGCATGGAACCCTAAAAATTATTAATAGCTCAGTGTCCGGACGCTCACTTAATATTTTTGGTACTGGTAGCACCTCCATTCAAATCCTGGTGTTGGCATCAATGTATCGAATAATTTCAAGTGCTAATTTACCACGTGCCAAGCGATGAATATAGTATCGTCAGAAAATCCGTATATCGAGGAAATAATGTTGAAAATAATATTTCGAAGATCACGTATTAAATTCACACGGAGGCTATTCCCTCGGATACGTCCGGTATCAGTTAACATAATGTTCACATCGAATTCTCAAGGCAGATTTATATCAATGCCGCTTTGCATCCGAAAACAATGTGATGAAATGAAAACAGCATCTTGAATTGCGGAAATTTCTATGCGCCAAAGCGGAATTGTTCGCCTGAGTTTTGTTAATAATTAACAATCGTAATAAACGTTATGTGTGGGAAAACTTTAAAAAAAACATTATTTAGTCTTTGTCCATGCATTCAACTACAATTCAATCAGGGAAATGGATTTGAAAATGGAACGGACTTCAGTTCGTGACGGCTGCGACGCGCTTTTTGTCAGTTTTGGCGCCAACCACTGTACCACTGTCCCTGTTGCTGAAGAAGCGGTAACACGCGTAAATAATATTTTACTTTCATTTAAATGAAAGTAAAATATTATTTACGCGTTGTAATTATTATTTAAGAGTTGATGGAGGTTTTACGAATGTGAAATAAACGGATACAAAGTATTTGTGATATAAAGTATTAATTTTGGATCAAACTGGTAGGTCGCGTAATAACCTTTGTCAACTATATAGTCGTAAAGTCAAGATTTGTTTTATCTTTAAACAACTTAAACTAAAACCATCAAACAAATTCTTATAAGATCCATTTTCTTACCAAAGTTTGATACCGAATTGACTTTATGCCATTGCCCAATGGCAATTATAATAATTTTACTAGTGAAGTTAGTCTTAGCCTTGTCTATAACCTTACGGTTTGAACCCTAATAGTACACAAAAGACTCTTTATTTTCATGTATCGTGAAACGGTTCACCATTTGTTGCATCTGGGACCAAATAAGGTATTTGAAACTGGAATCGCATGACCTGTTTCGTATGATACATATGCAAGCTTGGGGCCGTTGTGTTCTAGTCGAAATTTGTTAGGGAATGTAGTTAAAAGATCAGTTCTGTATTATTTAATAGATCAAAAAAAATTGCCAATAGCCGTGCGGTTACACTAGCGTTGATCGATCTTTTAAAGATCAAACCAATGTCACTACACACACTGTAGGGATTTTATTTCATTCATTAGTTGCATACATTGACTTATGAGAAACTAGCTGCTGCCCGCGACTGCGTCTGCATAGAATAGGCTTAAGGCGTAACAATCAGACAGATATACATAAAGATTTGTATATAAATTATAGCCTATGTGTTATTCTGATGTATAAGCTATTTTATTGTAAAGTTTCATTAATTCAGTAGTATTTGAGTGAAAGAGTAACAAACATCCATCCATACATACAAACTTTTGCATTTATAATATTAGTAAGGATTATGCGGCAGCTTTGACGATGATCGAACGATTTCTCACTTCTTTATTTTCTCCATCCCACGTTTGATAAAGTTATCTCAGCACTCTTGCATCTCTATGCATAAATAAAGATGCAATGTTAAATTAAATTAAATATGATCGACTCTGATCCGAAAGTATTTTACGATTGTCCTACATATCTTCTTACAGATAGGCGTGATATAATAAAATAAAACACCCAAAAATTAGCAATCTGCATACTTGACAGACCGGTTTGTGTACTTCCTACTGCCAGAATTAGAAGTGCGGCCGCCAAACGAGCAACTGGCATCGATGTACAGTCAAATAGATAAGTGTAATAGTATTTTCCGTCGTACAGTCGGCGAAGTGTACACTTTATTTGTAGTCAGTATTTCATTTTATGTGTAAAAGTGGCAAACGAGACGGCGGTTCTGGCCATTCGTGCAACAGTGAAAACTGTTCCGTGGCCCTAACACAGTTATACTAAGACAGGTACGAAACATAATAATAGACACACCCTTAAATCATATCAAAAAGTAACTTGGCTATCTTTTAGAATTGTGTAGATGCATCTGTACTTATTCCAATTCCTTACTACGTTCCGTTTGGGAAACAGTGGACGAATGAGGGTGTTATTTATGTGCAGGTTATTTACCTTTTTCGATAGCAGCATAAATACACAAGCGTCAACCTCACGAGATCGTTTTCTATTTTTTGTCATAGTTCAAACATATAATTTCCATTGCTTCAAAAATATGTGTTCAAATGGCATTCATTGATTTTAATTGAATCACTTTTTAAACGGTTTTAGCTCGACCCGTACGGAATTTATTTGTTTGGGTCAAAATTAGAAATTGAAATTTAAGCACCTTGCCGTTGATCAGATGCAGATTGATCTGAAATTTGGTACACATATTTAATTTAGATGACAATACAATATTAACAAAAAAAAATTAACAAAAAAAAACAAAATAAAACCGTTTAACTTAAAAGTTTTTAAACGGTTTTATTAAATAACTTTTCAACGAGCCCTTACAATTCCTGGTGTCGTTAGTCTCATCTTTAAATTATTCTATAGTAAGTATCCAAAAATCTAAAACCTGGTAATTATGAGGCCTCAATATTATCAAAAAAAACTTCTACATCGATTATTTATAAATAAACTAATAAACAATTTCGATTAAAATAATAAATTAACTAACAAAAACGAAACGCCATGTGCAATTTGATATGTACGTAATTTATGGCGTCATAAAAATGTCAACATTTCGGAAAATGTCGTCGACTCTGAATCATGCTATCAATTAATCTCTGTTCAGTTTATTGTTCAATACTTGGCAAAGTTATAGATAGCTTTAACATTAACCATAAACATATCGATGTGTTTTATTTTCTCGTCGATGGGGACATTATATCTCTAATCCCGGTTTATGGTCCATTGTTTCTTGCGTGCATTCAATTTGTTGATAAATATATTCAGCCTTATGTCAGATAACAATAAAGCGAGGTCTTGGTGGCTGTTTAACACCCGAAGTGACCTCCGTCATATCGATTAACTATTGTTGACAAATTTGTACACCGCCAAGTGTCCTCATGTGCCAATTATCGTTATAGCGGTACTGGCTCTAAAATTTTTGAATAGGACATGTTACTAAATGAAACTATATTTCCTGTCGGGATATAAAATTAAAATAAACGCTATAAATCCGCAAATTTAATTTCATTTAGTAATATACAAATACATTTAATAAAATGCAAATACGAGAAATTAATGCCCGTTTTCACCATCGATCCCTAATTTTAAGTGACACTAAAAAAAATTAAGTCAATACCATTAATATTTCATCCCTATCTTTATCTCATAAAAACTATTATTAGATTTGCAATGATTTTTTATGAAGGTTAGGTACTGCCATAAGTTCTGTATACAACGAAATAATTATTTAATAAATTTTCTGTATTTTTCTACTGTGTACTGTATGATGCGTACACAGCCGTTTCTGCATTAATTCAATGTTGCATGAATGGGTAGGCTCGTTAGGGGAAGCAGCATAGTCATACAGAAGACCAGCGTGAATTGAAAGTGCAATAATTTCGCGTTTCATTTAGTGTGGTAGCCGGGACTGTCTTCATTTTAAAGTTGGCAACGCATCTATACCTGAGTATCCAGTGGCAGCGGTAATCGTAACTTGACATCACAACAAGTTTTCAAATAAAAAGGGCGGTGGAAAAGAATTTTAAATTGCAAACGAAGAAGAATTTTGATGCAGCTTAAAATTATTATTACTCAAAGAATTTTTTCAGAAAAACACCCCCGCGACTCATCTAAGAACCCGTTAAGAATCTGCCAAAGTGAGGGTTGCCGTTAATACTTTTGTTTCTACAACAAATTGCACATTGCCTGTATCTTTTACTTCACTGGCTCACCAATCAAGCTCGGCTCGATAAGCGGGAGCCTTTGACCCGGTGTGGTGACATTAAAAAAAATTGGCAGTAAACGAAATTAAACGAACAGATGAGAACGGCGCGGTGTAATAAAAGATAAATCCGCAGACATCGCTTTAATTTCCGAAACCTTTTCTCTCTTGCCCCAACTTCAAAGGTGCTCGAATCGATTTGATTTTAGGGCTTTAATCGAAATTATTTTGCTGAAAGTGCTTTTTTTTACTGGATGTGCTCTTACCATCGCTAGACCCTTTTTTTACAACGCCTACGTATTGAAGGTGACAGCAATGTGACCCCATCTGT